TCTAGCTACATATATAGCTATATATATATATATCTTACCACCAAATAGCGAACGAAAACGGATACGGAAAAGGAGCCCTCATCTTCATCTAATGATTCAACAAATTGCCCAGTTTTATTTGTATGTCACGATCTACTAATGAATTTTGAAGTACACTGCCCAAGAATTCTCATATTCATCCACGACCATCCCAAAATCAGATACTAAACAGATACAAACTTCAGATACTAATGTAAGCACAGTAAAACACTCACATTATCGATAAAAAAAATATGCTCAAATGGTTAAATCGAAAACAAAATAACTCGAGCTACACTAAATATTTTGAGGGTCGATTTGACAAAAATAGATCATAAGTAAACACTATCGATCATAAAATTCGCGGCAGGAGACAAAAAGGTAAATGTTGTAAACTAGTGATATCAGGAACAGTTATTGTTACCGAGGTTCATTGTATGATAAGATGTGCTTTGAAATATCTGTTGTGTAAATGACTATAAATTTGAAGTTGGTGTGATTTTTATATTGTATTACGTGAATGACTGGGAGAACAATGTCTAAAATAGAGCAAGTTGAAGATTTATTGAAGACGCATATAGGAGAAAATAAGTCCATCGTCGATGTAAAGATAGAAAATTTGGTAGCTCCGGGAGAAAATAATGGGGGAGAACTTTTCAAACTAGAAATTATTACGCGTCATTCAGAAAAAGGAACAGAAGAAACGTATCATGCAGTAGCAAAGAAAATACCTTCAAATGAAGTCGCCCAAAGGATCTTCAATATTCAACAGACATTCAAAGGTGAAATAAACTTCTACGACAAAGTTGTACCGGCTCTTCAGAACTTTCAGCGTGAAAATGGAGTCAAGAATGTTCTGGATTGTTTTGCAAAATTTTACGGAGCTAGAATAAATTTGGATGAGAACAGTGAAGTTGTCGATGAAAATGCGGTTATTATGTTAGAAAATTTACAAATTTCAGGTGAGGATATTCTACCATTATGTGATTATTATTTGAGAGATTCATTTTCACGGCATTATCTTCTTCGTTTTTTTTGAGAAGTTGATACTTACTGCTTTCGTGAATTATTATTATGTCTGAAATCGAGTAACTGATCATCGTTTCGATAGTTAATTATTACAATCATTGTCTGGCTATGTCCTATGTTTACTTTAAAGATTATGAATTCAGGTTGAATGCATTATCATCCAATAT